GGATGGTTGGCGTCAGGAAGGGCATCCGGCCGTAAAAACCCTGCCAAAACCGAAAATAGCGCCCCCTTATAGATACGGGAAAAAGCTACGGAAGAAGAAGAAGACTCCTTCAGAATATAGTGTGAGGAGATAAAATAGAAAAAGTAAACTTTTCAAACCTATTATCCAAATTAAAGCAAATAACACCGCAAATAACACACAGTTGGTGGACGACGGCCACATGTGTTTACTTTTAAGCCTAACAGAGGAAAACAACAAAAAAGCTATAAACATATTTCGCTCACCAAACTTGTCAGCCTTTTGTTCTTTTGTTTTTTAACAATAAACAAGCGAATCAAACGGCTAATATGACCAATATTCATGGGCTCTAAAAATATAATTAGGAATATTGACTGAAGGTGCCTGCTTTTCATGCGAATATTCAGTTCAACATAAACAGACTTTATAGAATACCTTGAAAACGTTTTGGCTTATATTAAAATAGGACTCCCTTAATGCTTTTAATTTATGCAATGTATTTAATTTAATTTCTGTTTGGGCTTGTTTTTGTTCATTTAAATGTACTTTATCACAGGTTTGGATTTGCTGTTTATATTGCAATCCTTCCTTTTGCTTGACTGTTTAAGTATTAAAATTTTATATATACATACAGCTTTGCTGTTAGGATGGTCATCTTTGTTTCAACAGGGAAGCAACTAATCATCCTAAACTCGGATGCCAAATGAGAAACATTTCTAGGTTCAGTTTTTTTATATAATTTTGTTATTTCAAAAGTAACATCATACAGTGAAAAATATAGTAAACACAGGTGTATGTTTTGATTATATATGTTAAGAAATACGTTCTTTTCTTTCACTTATCGAGAAACTTTTAATGCACTGAAATATATGCGATTTGTTATATTTTCCGGCATTGTAAGTATTATAAATGAGTTGTGGGAGTTCTCTCTGATGTGTTAATAAAACAGAATTAAATGTAAAGTTCGAAACGTTTTAAGTTATAACCAGTACAATAACCTGATCATTATTCGTCTTTTTTATTATTATGTTACGTTTACGAGACTATAAACCATATCCGGACTTCCTAGAATTTAAGAGCGGGCTGTTACATGTGTTCTTCTGCATGTTTTTCAAATATGCCCATGATTCACATATGCCTTTCTTAGCTTTAAAGAGGTGTTCCAATTTCTTCATTAAAATTCAAGATCTGGTGACTTATGTGTGTTTTAGGCGGGCTCTGAAACATGCTAATGATCAAACAAGGATTTCATCAGTACAAAAAATATATATACGATTTTAGTTTATTTCTCACTCTCACGATGAGATAATGCAGAAGGAATAAAGTGATCTTAAGTTTTTGTCGTTTTATTTTATGTTCAACAACAAATGCACTATAAGTTGTACATTTACGCAACAAACAAGGTATATCCCCTAAAGTGTCCCACTGCCAAATTTATTTACATATTTTTTTCACAGGTTATCCGATTATCGTTGTAGCAATGCAAAAATATAAAACTCGTTGTGTTAAATGTTCGATGTGATGCTTAATAAAATACACAAAATATAATAGAATTATTGATTAGTAAGCACAAAAATAAGCCACACTTTTAGTCGTTATATAACATTCTACATGATAAACTGCGCAAAATATTTATAAAATAATTATCCTGCAAACTTAATCAGTCTAACAATTTTTTTTATGTTATGAACGATATCCCCCACAACACATGAAAATGAAGCAATATAAATATTATAATTGCAAAATATTGTTTATATAAATTTGAAGGAAATGTTTGAGTTTTACATTCCAACAGTCATAAAATATTATCAAAACATTTTACATGTACCAAAATATCCAAGTTAAAATAAGAGGTTTAGCCATATAACTGATTTGTTTGTTTATAATTAAGCACAAAGCTACACAATGGGCTATCTGGGCTCTGCCCACCACGGGTATCGAAACCCGGATTCTAGCGTTGTAAGTCCGCAGATACACCGCTGTGCCACTGGGGGGCAGCCATATAAAGGTGTGATATTAAAAAGACCCTTGTTACATAAAACGACAAACCCTTAAAGAATGTGATGTAAAAGTAAGTAAATTAAACGAGAAAAAATGGGGAATACTTAGTTCCCCTTTTTATTGAAACTAGAGCAAGCAACAATGTGAATACCAACAGTGGGCCAAGTTTTTCCAATTTTTTCTTCTTTAAATTGTCCATTTTACATTATATCTTTACATGGTTTCTCCTTTATATAATTTGGCTTTTTTATGGCACAACTTTATATGGCTAACCCCTTTATTCTAAATTGAATGTTTATATACTTGTAAAAATATTTGATAAGACATTACTACTTTTTGTCTTTGATTACTATGTTAAACGTAGTTGAAATAAATATCCACTCAAATGCGATTTGAGCCCCAATTTTCAGAGGAAACTATCAACTCAAGACTAACATTTTAGACCATATTACCTCATTTCAAGTTTTCCGCCTGCCCCTAGATTTTTAAATCATCAGTCTTATTCTAGTGGCTGTGAAGAACAATTCACCATTAGAATTACCAATGCATACATACACACATATACATAAATACATATATATATATATAGACACGTTACAGTTGTGTTCCCACATATCATAATCTCGAGGATTTCCTCTAATATAGAGCATGTAGTTGAGGACACTAGTGCCGCCGAGAACTTTCCCTCGAGGCCATCTGCTTCTCTGTTGGATAATGAAAATAAATTTAGTGTTAGTACATAACATTTCTAACCGATAAATTAAGAATTTGTATTTAGTAATGTCACTCTCACTCTGAACACGTTTGAGAAAGGATCTAGAAGCACAGTAATAATTCCCGCCAAGTTAGAAGGATTAAGTAACACTGCCGTGATTCTACACGAAGGAAGAAACTTTAGGCCAAATTTGAGATACTGTCACAGCTGTTACAAATGATGCAAGGTCACAGTTATAATGTTTCTGAGTAGGTATAAACACTCCTACATCACATTAAAAACTGCAGCTTCCTATCTGCTTTAGATTAAGAGAAATAAGAAATCAAAAAGTGGTTAAAATATTTTTCTTCTTATTCTTCTCCATGTCGAAGAGGCAAAACATATAGTAAACACAGAAGGACAGATTGGGAGAAAAATTTATATGTAAATGTATATGTTTATCTGAAGTAAGATTTGGAGATTATGGTGCCTACGGATGGAACTGGAAGGAAGTTTTCCCTTATTTCCTCAAGAGCGAAGACAATCGAGATCCTTCCATTGCCAATAACGGTAGATTGCTTATAAAGAACGATGCGATTTAATATAAACACGGAAAGACATTATTAAAACACGTTTTTATAATACACACAACATAATTTTAAAAGTTATGTCGTTTCCATAACTTACACAGAGAGGGTTGATACAAAATAATAGCTATAACCCAGGATATTTGTTTTAACTGACCAAGTAGAAAGCGTAGATACAGAATAACACAGGTATAAGATTGGATGTTTCTCACTTACTAAGTAAAAAGCGTAGATACAGAATAACACAGGTATAAGATTGGGTTCTTTCTACAAGTATATTTATTTTTCGACATAATACATATCTCGTGTATCAGTTTACTCTGCTGAGTTAGTAAGAAAAAACATTTGATTCTTATACCTATATTATTCTGTATCAACTTTTTCTGCTTAGTCAGTGAAAAACATCCAGTCTTATACCTGTGTTATTCTGTATCAACTCTTTTTACTTAGTAAGTGAGAAACATACTGTGTAAGCTACAGCATCAAATATTATTTTATAATTTTTACTATTTATATTTTGTTTACCTGTTTTTAACCGCAATACAGGATACCATGGAAAAGGCGGTTATCTCACCGTATCGACACCTCCTTACACTACCCCGTTGGCTCACGCCTTTGTTGCAGGAGGACACAGTCTAGGATATCCAAATATTGACCTCAATGGGCCAATTCAAACAGGTAATTATGAAACAGGTGAATTATGTGTGTAGACATAGAGTTCTTGTGTTTATTTATATTTATATCTAGAGAAGGCATTTTTGTTAAGTTAGAATAACGCCATCAAGAGCACATTATTAAACAGTAGACAACAGCTTCCTAATATGATATTAGAACAGTGCCACTATGATATTCACAGAATAATAACAAAATGCATTCGCACTGATAAATTTAAATGTGATATTCTCCTGACATAAATATATTTATATATTATTTAATATGTAATCGATTTTTCCCTGTGTGTAAAGTTGTTATACATTTAATACAAGTCAAAGTTCAGTATAATATTTTTCTGAGGATGTCATTATTAGCAGGAGATTTTTTAATGTATAAACGGTTTCAAATACCGAATCATTGTTACATTATTTCATATATATTTCAGTATAACCAGTTGCACTGAGTTCTTGCACGTATATATACAAAATACAGTCGCGCTCATATATATATGTTTGATAATGTAAATTTGAAGGAGACTATGTTTTATAAATGACAATGAACCTTTTCTTTATGCATATCTGAATTTTTACATGTATTTCAGGATTTGCTATTCCACAAGGCACAATACGCCGAGGTTCACGCTGTAGCACCTCTAAGGCCTTTTTAAAACCAACTAAAGGACGACCAAACATAGATATTGTAATATTTGCTTTCGCAACAAAGGTGAGTGTGTTGCCTTTTAAAATTTTTATTCCATTGCTAAATCAACAAAAGTGAGTTTGTTGCCTTGTTGGACTTTTATTGTACTGTTGAGTCAAGAAAGATACGTTAGTTACCTTGTTGGACTGTTATTGCACTGTTAAGTCAACAAAAGCTAGTTAGTTGCTTTGTTAGATTTTTGTTTCACTGCTAAATCAACAAAGGTGTGTTAATTTTTTTTGTTGGACTTTTATTGCACTTTTAAGTCAACAAATGTGAGTTTGTTGCCTTGTTGGATTTTTATTGCACCGTTAAGTCAACATACGTTAGTTTGCTCCCTTGTAAAACATTTATCATATTGTTATTCCAATAAAGCAGAAATAAGAATGTGTGTGTGTGTGTGTGCGATTATTTTGTTCGTGTTAATGTGAAATGCGTCGTGGTTAGATGGTAGACAATTTATGTTTATCGATATATATATATATCAGTGGTGTGCAATCAGTGAATGCAAGTCATGCATTGAATGACCAATTATAAAACAAAAAAAATTTTGATATAACATCATATAATATTTTGTGTGTTTATTTGCGCTGCGTCGGCATTCTTATTCTATGATGCGAGAGCTCTGCATGTCTAGTCTCAATCATGTCAAGCTACGAGAACTCTGCATACCTAGCATTGACTTTACTATAATCGCTTCATCCCCTCCAACAAAAGTTCTTACTTCCGATTTGCTAGTCCTAATCACGTGTACAGAACACATAGAAAAAACATGACGTCTATTAAAAATGTATTCAGCGTGACAATTTGGGAGCAGTCATTGTGCACTGCTGTTACGTGCATAATTTAATATATTTCATAAAGTCTTCATAGCGCAATTTCATACAGATACCGTTGACAAATACTTGCAATATAATCAAGCATTTTCAAGTTCTCTTATAGTGAATGAGACCAATAGGGAGTAAAAAAATAAACTGTATTACATTATATACCTTAAAAAAAACTTGTTTATAAGATTTGTAATAAACGTATTCCATTTGATTAAAACTAATTGTTGCTGTTCAAGGTTGGAATCTATTTATATGTATAGTAATGAATAAAACCCTATAACCCGAGCGCTTTCGAAAGGTGGACCTTTCTTCTTCAGGGGCAAACTGGGAAAAGCGCTTGGGTTATAGGGTTTTTATTTATTTCTATCAAGACTTCTTGAACCTACGTGTTTTTCTAACATTATGAATATGTATATGTATAGGTATCCATGAAAGTATTTGTATCCATCACAAAGTTACGTCCCTCTATAAAAGAGGACGCCTTTACGACTCACAAAATCATGCGATTTGCATGTTACCCGTCCGTTGTTGATGTTGAAGCTATGCGCATACACTAGCTGTAATGCTATTTTAACGCAGCATGACTTGCGCGGTTTTACCAACAGATGGCGGCGACGTCACTCCAGAAAAATAGGATCTTTCTGGAAGTGCCGGCGCGGGGGGGATGATTGCTAGTAAAGCACGATCTGTAATAGACAAAGTGTCAATAACTTGAATAGGAAGTTTGATAGGTTACCTAGATTAAGGCAATAATAAAGCCTTAAGACAGATTTGGTGCGTACAGTAACTGTCAAATAATCGAAACATTATTGCCGAAAAAGGCGTAGCTCAGTAGTTGGCGTGGATCTGCGATTCCAACATCGTATCCTATTGCCACAGGAAAGAAAAAAGGGGAAAAACGATCAATTTTCGCACTTTGTGGCCGTGGGTGTGTTACAAAGGTGGCAGTCAACTTCCACTGTTCCATCAGACAAAATTAGCCCAAGAGATGGCAGAAGATGCTATTTATTACCTATATTCTTTCTAACGCAAATAGTCCTTGAGTAACTTTGCGCAAATATGCCAAAACAAACTAACTTTCATGTCGGTTAATAAGGCTGCAATGTAGACTTAACAATTTATGTGAAATAATTGGTACCAGGATTAGGGAATTTTGAAAAATACGTAAAGTATTAATAGTTCTTAAAGACATTTTATAACAAAACATCCTTTTACAGGTTTTATTAACTCTTTTTTTTTGTAATAGTTCAGTGTACTTGAAACTTAAGTAAACGATATTTGTAACTTTAAGCGTGTATTATTTTAACACTTGAAAACAAAAGATAATAGCATGTCTTATGCGAATAATAAACATAAAATATTCATCTATAGTCACTTGTACAGATTTCACTGAAAAGTTTGTCGACCACACAATCCTATGTGTGGTTGTAATGTTGTGCAGCTTTTTTTTTCAACCAATTATACTTGCTGTCAGTTTCTTAGGTGTTACTAGTTTGTTTATATGCATATCGCCCAGCTTTATATCTATTAAATAACCCTTTGTTCCGCAGATTCTTTTCGATGAAAACTTGATAGCTCGAGCTATCCAGTTTGATAGATTAGGGTTACCTCATACAGTTTACGCTCGGAAGGAAATCATTCTTTCAGCTGGAACCATCAATACTCCTCAGCTTTTAATGTTATCTGGAATTGGACCAAAAGATCATCTCTTGAAGCTCGGGGTAAGCAAAGAAACGAACTGTACGCTTTAGGATTATAGAGAAACGTTTTATGTTTAGGGTTGTGTGATTGCTCATTTCTATGAGACGCCATAAGAAAACAGTTGCAGACGATGTTTAGATTGTTTTAAATTTGGAGTTTAATTATTCAAAGCCCTGACAGTTTTTAAAGCAGATGTTAGCTTATACTGAAAGTAAAGTAGTTGACCTTGTCGAGATACAAAACTGGTATTTGTAATATTCTTAAATACATGCTTGATTGATATAAAAGCATTAATATAAGTTTACCTAAGTGACGCTGAAGGAAATAATTGGGCTATGATTTTCATATAATACAAATTTAATGAAGTAAAATTTAATTTGTTTTTAAATAAAAGCTGGTTGATATTATTTTTATTATCGAAAACTTAAATAATATACATATTATTTGAATAGTTTTTCTTACATGAACAATTTTTCAGTCGTTGATTGGTCTCTCAAAATTTACTACTATTTCCTGTTTTTTCAGTTTTATTTTAGGGCTGTGTAATGCTATAAAATCGAAATAAAATGATAACGGTCAAATTTTTATGAAAATGTTATTTACTCTTTGAATACTATGAACCTTACACAAGTCACTTTGTTTTCGTGTTTTCACATCTAACGAACCGTGAAAATCACACTAAGTGTGTCAAACAGTCTTGTAGTTACTAAATAAATGACCGTACAGTCAGATATCAAACGAAATATTCACACAGACGTGGGCAAATGTAGTACGTATCATCGTGGATCATGAAAAAAACAAAAACGGACAGAATAAAAATACTCAAAATGCTAGAGTACTTTCGAAAAGTGAATTCTACTTCATTAGGAATTGAGTCTGAGCTTATTAAGTTAGCTTTACTATTCTTGTGGTGAATGAGTGCTGCTTACAGTTATTTGTCCAATAAGATATAATATATTCCATTAACGATAATGTATTTGATAATACACTTTATTTAATTGAAGGAAAAAGAGAAACTCAATAAAGTATATTTTTCTCTTGAAAAGATTCCGGTTCTAGCAGATCTTCCTGTAGGCCTAAACCTTCAAGATCACATCTATCCCGGAGTCCTCTCGTATCTAGTTAATCAACCTGTTTCTGCTGTTCAGTCACGAATTTTTACCGCAGAGAATATTTTCCGGTATTTTGCCTTTTCAGATGGTAAGTTCACTCCGCCTGCCCTGGGCTCTTATTTTAATCAACTTCGTGCATGAAAATGCTATTTGATCATAGATCAATGTGTATAGAATTTTTAGAATTAAGAGACACTCAAGCCTAATTTATTTATTTTTTTACTCTTGGATTTCATTAATCATTCTGTATTTTAAAATAGTAATGTTTAGATCAATGTTTTCAAATATAAACAATTAAAAATAACTGTGATCTCGGCCCATTAAAACTCCAGTGGCAATTATACATGTAATGAAAATATTTGAAGCCATTTTAAGTTGTTATTTTCTTAATGCTAAGCTACACAATAGACTATCTGTGTTGTCCAACACAGGGTTTCGAACCCTGGATTTTATTGTTATAAGTCCATAAGCTTACAGATAAGTCACCGAGGGACTGCTTTTCTTATATAATACCTAATTTGGTGGAAAATAACCCAACTGATACAATTAGTTTAGCAATTTTTCTTCAGACCAAAATGGCACAGTGTATCGCACGTTGTATGGACTGAATATTATCTTAATGATCAGTCTATCTGTCTCTGTCACATTCTGTATATCCTGGACAGTTAATCAAGAGTACATTACAAGAACATTATTATTATTGCAAATGTTGAAATCAACGTCAATCCGAAAGTTTTCATATGTTCTAAAATATTTCTTTTTGTGAGGAAATTTCTCGAAAAACAGGGATTTCTCTGTCGAGTGATTGAAGTAAATGTTTCAAAAATAGAAGCATGAACGAATACAAACACGTAAAGAAAGAAACGTGCTTAAGTATATTTGTTGTTGTTCGATTTATATTGAATTTTTAATTTTTTTCATATCGGTATTATATACATGCATGCCCCCCAGTGGCACAGCGGTATGTCTGCGGACTTACAACGTTAGAATCCGGGTTTCGATACTCGTAGTGGGCAGAGCACAGATAGCCCATTGTGTAGCTTTGTGCTTAATTACAAACAAACAAAATATACATGCATGATTTTATTGTACCATGTCGAACACATTGATTTGGATTGAATATCTCATCTTTGATACTTCTTATAGAAATTAAAACTGTCAAAAGTGTTCACTTAGTTAGCGGTCTTTCCTTGCGCTCAATGAAATGACAAGGAACGGTGTCATTCAAAGGAAAAAATCCCTGCGGCTACTTAGCGAACCCGGGCGCTATATTGTGCTGGATGCAACCATTTCATCGAAACCTATACATTTTTGTCAACAATGCGTTCCAAGCAGTCTCCATTGCTTACAAACAAAAGCAATGCAATTTTCCTTATTGAAATAACTCACGGAATGGCGAAATACGTTGAAAACTGCCCACTAGACAATAATATTGCATATATGCTATGATCCAAAGCACACTTATTATTTATTCATCACTATTTTTAGGAAATCTGCTAGTTGTTATATAACTGACAAGTAATTAATATATAACTATATACTAATCCATAAATACATATTGCGTGATAAGATATTTCATTATAAAATGTGGTCATTTCATAAATCGTTATTTGTAAGTTACAAAAATGTTCTAGATTGAGATTCTTTTCATCAGTGTAAAAATAGGTACATTTATACTGTTTAAAAGACTTCTTTTTGCCTCATGCTTCAGGTTTTACCTCTTGCCAGATGGTTTACACTGATGTCCCACTTCAATTTGCTTTGAAATGCAATACTTTTACACATTCTTGGTTACAGTTAATAAAATATGCATGCGTAAAGTAGCCACTAAGACCAACAGTCGTCTAACATTATTATTGCATAAAATTGTCAAATATGAGAAATATTATAATGTGTTTGTGTGTGAAAAGTATTTTATCTTTTCCAATATTTAATACGGATTTTCTTGTTTCATCAAAACTAACCAATGAGAAAATTACACCACTAATTTGATGAAATATTATCTTAAAAAGAAAAACGAATTTTTCTGTAATTTTTTGCTTTGTATAATTATTACCTCGTTTCTTACTAATAGGTCCATTAACTCTCCTGGGAGGAGTGGAAGGGTTAGGTTTCATTAAAACCAAATATGTCAATTCTTCTGATGACTTCCCTGACGTTGAGATCCACTTTCTATCCGGAAGTTATGGTGCTGATGCTGGTCACGTATTTCGTGGGTCTCAAGGTATTAACGATGAGGTATGCATGTATATATATATATACATACCTAATTATTGCTAATGTAAATTTTCTATCTATAAATCCTGCAAAAATCTCAGTTAAAATATAATTTAACTTTAGAAAGATACCATTACTATCTTCTTACTATAACTGAGCAACGGTGGCTGTGTGTATATCTTATCTATATCACCGAAATAATATATACAATAGTGATATCTGTTGAATGGCACCACAAACAAAAATACACAATATCAATGCCAGAAGTGGTGATTGAAGCTTATGAAATGTGGCGATATCTATTAAATGGCACCACAAACAAAAATGCACAAAAAAAGTTCACCCTTTAGGTATTCCAGTTGCAGACAATTAGAAAAATAACTGCGGTATGTGCAACAACCATTTCTTTATAATAGAACATAGTTTTAAATAAAACTACTCTCCTCACAACAAGAACATGACTTTCACTAGGACTGTACGCGAGGGTTTGATTATATCTTTATTGATGTAATTATTAAATGAAGTACTGAGAAACTGGAGTTCTTAAAAAACATCATTTTTTTTAAATGTTAGCACTTTTAATGTACAAAAACATTACATTTTATATCAGTAAAATTTATGGATATTTTGAGCTCTGTATATTTAATCATTTTTATTCAATGAGTTACGTATGAATAAATAGCATAATTCGAACACTTTTATCGTTCAGTACGTCCCAGGAAAAACACCATTTCAGAAAATGTTCACTTTTTCTAATTTTTTTCAACGAAGTATGAATATTAGGATTAGTAATTAGTAAAATAAACAGTCGTTCGTAGGGTGGCGTTTCTGCTAGTGCTTCTTATGGAGAAAGTTTATTCTTAAGGGTCTTGTAGGCTATTACATGTATTGCATATGGTGCTGTTATAGTTTAAAATATTTATTTAAATACCAATCCTAACAAGTTAATTCCACTATAAGTACAACCATTGTCTATTTTGCATATAAATTCTTGTAATGTTATGAAATTATATGGATATAATCAAATTTAACATTCAAAAATAAGTCATTTCTATTAAAAGAACAAAACCTTTAATGAAACATTTTTACGACAGTCTTCCTTTCAAATTTGCTTTTTTTTTCGTGAAACAAAAAAATATGAAGTAATAATAATCTTAATGATGAAAATAAAAAATAATAATGTACGGTAATATTTATGGGAATTAGAAAATCCGTAATTTTTTTCCACAGTAAATCTTATTTATTTTTTAGTTATGGCAAAAAGTCTACCTGGAGTACCTGGAAAAAGATTCTTTTTCTTTATTTCCGGTGTTATTAAGGCCTAAGAGTCGAGGCTTTATCAAACTACGCTCAAGCAATCCTTATGATCCTCCAATCATTGATCCACGCTATCTCACAGACGAGCGAGATGTTTTCACCATAGTGGATTGTAAGTAATTTACAGCCGCAAATAAACCCTGAAATAAAATCGAGTCTAAAGAAAATATTTCGAAAACAGTTTGGAGAAAGAGAATTTCCTTTTGCAATAACATTTTAGACATAGTTTTATTTCCAAAAATTGTCTAAATGCAATATTTTTGTTTTCAAGAACTATGTCGTACTATCAAATGCCTTGCCTTTATTTATGAATATGAAGGGGAAAATACAATAATTCGAAACTGTTTTGAGACAAACAAATAATCATCTATGTTAATGCCTAGAAAGAAAATATCCAATTTGCATATTAGCAAGGCTTAACTAGATATTTATATACTTTGTCAATAATTGTCATTGTCATCAACTTATGTTTTTGAATGTTTTTTCTATTTACATTTATTATCCCTTTCAAACATTTGAAGAATGAGTCTAGTACTGTTTTAAAGACTCCTCCTCCTTATAAACCTCAGGGATTATAATGTTAAAACTGGGGATACAACGCAGATAGACCAGATATACTGTTTTAAACATTATTATATAGTGAACTTTTACTAACTCTTTTGATTTGATTTATCTTAATAACTTTATAATAAGTCGAAGAAATATAAACAAATAGAATGTAAAACACAAATTTGCAAAATGTTCTTTAAGTTCGACACCACAATGTGATGAAGTTCAACCTTCTCACTAGTCTCAGAGAAGATGACGCGATCACAATTCTACGGCAATGTTAGACCTATACTCGCTTTGGCTACTTGATTTTAAGATTGAGCAAAGATCGAGAGAATATCTTGGTACATGCTGAATGTTTGACAAAATCCAAACATCAATAACACATTAACAATTCACAAATCGGCTATTCTCATAAGTTATCTAATAATTCAGATTTTTTAAATCTAATATGTTTTTGTATTTTTTTTTTTCAAAACTTACTTATGTAGCTTCGAAATCAGATTAGTGTTTTTAAAGTAAGTTATATTCCACTCTTTCTTCAATATTAAAATTGGAGTATACCTGAATCAATCAGGGCATTGTAATCATTATAAGATTTTGTTTTATGACTTTGCATACGCCTAGTAAGAAAAAGTTATATCAAATTAGCTGTATTCATTACTGGGTTAATTTTTATTTCTGATCTGTGTAGATAGGTTGCTGTGATCAGAAGTCATTGTTTATTCTGCCTGTCAACTTAAAAAGAAGGTCCAATATGTTAACATTTGAACAAAAACTTAGTGTTAAAGTGAAGTCTTGCTTTATTTTTACATTATGAATCATACTTGCTTTGGAAAGGAGAAAATTGGTCATGGATATTTTCGTATATAACCATAGACATGTCCTACCTTATTTATTTAAAAAAACACATATACATCATTTGCTACTAATTATATTAAAATTCTAGCTCTCAATAATTACTTGAAACGATGAATATATATTCTCTGACTAGCACTGAAAATATGTTTGGCCCTGGGCGATACTCCAGCTTTCCGGAAGTACGGAGCTCGGATCAATCCCAATGTATTTCCAGGCTGCGAGGGCTACATTCAATGGAGTGACGAATATCTGGCCTGTCTTGCCCGAACCATTACATCAACCATTTATCACCCAGTAGGCACGTGTAAAATGGGAGATCCTCGTGATCCTACTACTGTTGTAGATCCACAACTAAGGTGAGTTAAAGAGACCCTCAGACCTTCCCCACTTCCCCCTTTCTTGGTTAATGATCTCAGTAGTGTTTTTTCTCATGTAAGTTCCCCATTATTTGAGCTCTATATATATGTTAAAAAGTTACCCAATTATTTGTCTAATTTGCACATTTTTGTTGGAAAACGCAAAATGAACATTTTTATATATTGTGAATGATATGAATATACCGTTGACAAAATTAACACACATTTTTAATGCTGTAATTTTCATTTACATGTCGCTATAGTACTTCAAGACAAATTCAGAAAATTGAATCTTTAGCTGAAACACATTTTGTGTGTCACCTCTTCTCAACACGGATATCGAAACCCGGTTTCTAGCGCTGTAAGTCCGCAGACATATCGCTGTGCCACTAGGGGCTTCAGTTTCGCTCTGTAGACATTTCATTTTAAACTTTCAATACATAGATTAACAACAATATCAGGTTATACTTTTAAAAAACCACATAACAGTCAAAACTACTCTATAACTTTCCATTATAAATAAAAACACTATAACTTCCCATAATAGTTTTTAAAAACACTCCATCACATTCCATAATAATTAGGGCCCCCCAGTGGCACAGCTGTATGTCTGCGGACTTACAACACTAGAATCCGGGTTTCGATACCCGTGGTGGGCAGAGCACAGATAGCCCATTGTGTAGCTTTGTGCTTAATTACAAACAAACAAACATAATAATTAGAAAACCATTTCCGTAACATCTCATAATAGTTTTAAAAACCACTTTATAACATCCGATAATAAAAAAACTTTAAAAATATTTCTGTAACATCCCATAATAATTAAAAATCACTCTATAATATCCCATAAGTATATACATGATAAGGGCTGGTTTTAGATTTTTTATAACAGTTTTAGTTTAACTTGAAGGATTGGACAGCCGAGATAAATCAATAGGTCTCATTTTGTCCAAAAACATTACGTTACGTTAAAAAAATAGTGGTTAAAACTACTCTATAACATCCCGTAATAGTTAAAACCACTCTATAACTCCTCATAATAGTTTAAATAATCACTCTATGACATCCCATAGTAGTTAGAGAATCATTTCTGTAACATCTCATAACAGTAAAAAAACATTTTTATAAAATCCCAAATAGTTTTAGAAATCACTCTAACATCCCATAATATTATTAAAAAACATTTCTGTAATATTTCATAATAGTTGAAAATCACAGTATAACATCCTATAATAGTTAATAAACATTTCCATTTAACCCCATATTAGCTAAAATTGCTATATAACATCCCATAATATTATTAAAAAACATTTCTATAATATTTCATAATAGTTGAAAATCACACTATAACATCCTATAATAGTTAATAAACATTTCTATTTAACCCCATATTAGTTAAAATTACTATATAACATCCCATAATAGTGAAAAAAAAATTCTATAACATCCCCTAATAGTTTAAAAATACTCTATAGCATCCCATAATAATTTCAAAAAAAACATTTCTGTAATATCCCATAATAGTTTTAACAAATATTTCTATAACATCCCATAATAGTTAAGAAAAAACACTTCAATGTCATACTTTAATAGTTAAAAATTCATACATTTGTTGCTAAGCTACATAACATAAAAGCCACTTTTGGAACGTAGCGTTACGAAAAATACAGCCACTGGCTTTTATGTATATCAGATATATTAATCACATAAGTAAAATTTCATTAATCATTTCTATCTTATTTTTCGAATTTACGGTATGACTATTTGGAGATGTTTTGTGGTTGTTTGTTTGATTTGAAACTTAGAATGCAACATAAAGATACATTTTCAACCTAAACTTGTTGTCCAACCATTGTGTTGTGCATTATAATCGTTATATATAATAACTTTAAAATATGAACAAGTATATTTTATGTTATATCGTATTTTATAACGAACAACCATTCTGCAGTTGTAATAGACATTGTACTTCGATATATATTCGATATGACTTTAAACCATTAGAGATTTTATTGTATTGTAAAGATACATTTCATAGTTAGTTACTAGATATCTCTACCTCTAGGTGTTGCTCATCCTCGAGAAATACAAGTAAAATTCTAACATATGTATTCCTTTTTCCACCCTAGGGTGAAGCACGTGAAGAGTCTACGCGTGGTGGACGGATCTGTAATGCCAACCATCGTATCAGGAAATACAAACGCTCCAATCATTATGATTGCCGAAAAAGCATCGGACATGATTCGTGGAATTAGGTCTGTGTTTGCTCAACGTGGCCTCCTAAAAAAATCTGAAATTTAAAAGTGATGAAAACGTGCCTAATTTGTCTGACCGTGTGTTTTCAGCTTTCAGTCACTTGTTCTGTGAAAGCTCATTTCGAAGACAAAAGGTGATTTCATCGTAGTAAGTCGAATGTACAAATTTCAACTCACCAAAAACTTTCAGACTTTATTTTATTTCGTTGCAATACAGAATAGAAAAGTATGACTGGGTTGTACAATAAATGTAGAAAGAGAAATAACTGAAAGTAGGATACTCTACAAGTTTAAAACTGGTGAAAGTTAAATCAACAACAACTTGAAATGTTAATACAAGCAATAGGAGAAAAAAAAATATACCATTTCCCGTTTACTTTAATCAGATCGAATGAAATTGTTGATGTGGTATCCCACGTGCTTCACAGCTATTATTTTTATCCAATGCCATCATAAACTACTAAGTCAACTGCTCAACAGGATTAAATTTTAACAGAATTAAGCGTAACTGAACATGAGGACGGATTAGCATACAGTTTCTGGTTTAACTGTGTTCTCTGTACATTTTGCAAGTTTTGTTGCATACAGTGTGTTCCAACTGATAGAAAAAACTTCTGCTTACTTTATTTCTAGAACCATAGGAAGTAAGTGAGTGTAGCTTTGTTTCAGAATTCCAACATTGTAGTTTCCTTCTTACAGAAAAGAAATCTGATCGTTTATTTGAGGCTCATGATTAATTTGTTTTTCCAAGTTGTCAACGTCTAGGTGTAAACGACTTGGTGCTGCGACAAGCTTTGAATAAGGTGAAAGGATCTGCATCAGAAACATTTGCTTTATTGGTAGTTTCATTGGAAAAATTGCCATAAAATACGGGACTATAATTGGTGACTGGCGTTTTTGTCACATAACGGGCCATTCCTTTAATTTAACTCGAAATGTGTTAATGTTATTTATGATAAAGTATTTATGGTTAAGTATTGCCACTCAACACAACAAATTTGTAATGATGAATATATTTTTTAGTAACTAAAGAAATAACTAAATACAAATAAATTAATGTTATCTGTTTCTACTGTATATGATTTAACATGAAATAAAAGATATTTCATCAAATATGGAGAGGATATAATTTTAAAATGTAGGTCATGATTTCATAACAAAAGGGTTCAGTCTTATATAGATTTATTTATAGCTATGCCATTTTACCAAATGTTAGCGAAACTCTTCGAGCAGAAATTGTGCAAAATATAAATACAGAAACAAAAAATATTTCGTTATTAATTTTACAGAATGTTATGTGAATACCATACAGTCCCCCTTTGGGACAGCGGTAAGTTTTCGGATTTACAACGCTAAAATTAGAGGTTCGATTTCACTCGGTGGACACAGCAGACAGACCGACGTGACTTTGCTATAAGAACACACACATACAACTTTCTTACCCACTTCCTGAGAGACCCCTTGAACCTGTTGGCGAAACTATTATATCAATAAAAACACCTATATCAATTGTTAGACGTATTTACTTCTTTATCAACGTGTAATCATAATTATTCCTTTGAAAAAAATCCGGCTGATAAGAAGGTAATTCAAATAAAATTACCAAGTCCTTCTTTATTCAATAATTATTTCCTTTCACTCAACGGATTCAAATTACCGGGTCTATCTCAACTCAATCAAGAATTTTCACCCAATGATTTTAAAAACTCCTACAAAAGACGATTTTCATTAGAAATTTAAATCAAATCGATATTTTTACAAGTTTAACTTTCAAGCCTTTTTTTCTTTTCAATTTTTTAGGGTAGGGTCAGATGATTTTATTCGTTGCTATGGAAAAGCTATGTAGGAAAAATAGATATATTAAACAGTTCTCGTAATACTTTACTCTTTTACCAGCGGAAGTATTCGTGTAGAACAATTCGATCTGGAAAATTAGCTGACGCGAAATTTCCAGGTTAATCATTAACAGGGCCAGGAGAAGCATTTGACCTGGGCCTCAAATTTAAACATTTGTTAATTTTTTGGCATTTGTTAAGTTTCGCGTCTTTTCTTTTTTTACATACCTCTATACAAACTACATTTCACTTTTTCTTTTGAGCTAATGATGGTCTTATTTTGTTTTCATGTGTCGTATTATTTATATTCTTTATTATGGCCACGGGCCTCAAATGCTGGCAGTGGCCACGGCCTCTCTGAGAGGGCCTGTTCAGAATAGTAGATTATTTCATTAATGTAAGATTATTTTACTTGTTGTTATCGGGAAACTCTGATAGGAAATAATTGTTAAACAAGTTTTTAGGTTAATAGTAATAGAAAATTACTTCATAACAATAAGATTAATTTATTTGTTACTCTCAAGAAACTGTCAGGAAAGAATAGTTAAACAAGTTTCTAGGTTAATCATCTTAGAAACTTATTTCTTTACCGTTGGATAATTATACTTATTCGTATAAAGAAACTTTGGTAAGATAAATTATTAACGAAACAAAGTAATCGGGTAAACCTTCCAAAACATTGATTACCTTGTACGATTTTGTTTTATTCTAAAAGGTAAGCCTATTAATAAAATTTATTAAATTATATATTTTTCAAGTCAGTCTTTATAAGAGTTTGCTTCATTATCGCAATGTGATTTTCACCTTCATATTGAAAGTTTGGAAGAAATAATTTTGAATCAAACACATTTTTCAGGGGAATCTTTCATACAAAGTTTCATTTTTATTACA